TAACTGTAACTGTAACTGTAACTGTAATTGTGACTATGACTGTGACGGTGACTGTGACGGTTACGGTGACTGTGACTGTGATTGTGACTGTGACTGTAACTGTAACTGTGACGGTGACTGTGACGGTTACTGTGACTGTGACTGTGACTGTGACTGTGACTGTGACTGTGACTGTGACTGTGACTGTGACTGTGATTGTGACTGTGACGGAGACCGTGACAGTGACTGTGATGGTGACTGTGACTGTGTCTGTGATTGTGACTGTGACGGAGACTGTGACTGTGACTGGAACAGCATACAGTACTTTTCAAGATGTTTATATCTTTACACACAATAATTGAGAATTTTAAATGGGGTCATTTTTGTGCCACTTTAGTAATTTTCGTATTGTTGCATGCGATTGCAAGTCCTCTAAAATTTATCCGAATAAATTAAAGTCTATTATTAGCTAAATCAGTCGTGTTTTCTCAATTTGTCACTCACCGCCTGCCTGCCTGCCTGCCAGTATGAATCATGGCTAATGAATAATATAGTCACGCATATATTTAAACTCAACTAATGAGAGGGCGCTGGAGCGGGAGGGAGAGGGGGAGAGATCTTCCCTTGACTCACCTGGAAACTCCTGGGGTATTAGTACCCACTTCTTACGCTGCGTCTTGGCATTGTGTCCATGATAGATAATACGATGACGCACAAGCCTATAGAGAAGAAAGAGCTCGTCGTGGCCAGGCTGGGGGCAGCTGCCGGCGCTAGAGGATGAAGTGGTGACAGGCTCGTTCACTTGCTGTTGCGAGTGAGACTGCAACTGCAACTGCGACTGCGACTGCGACTGCGACTGCGACTGCTGCTTCACGCCTGTCGAGGAGTTGCTCGATGCAGCTGTTGAGGAGCCATTAGATGAGCTGGACTGCAGAGTCTCGTTGGAGCTCTTGCTGCTGTACAAGATGCGCACCACGCGCGGCAACGGGTACCGCTCTAGGAACACATCAGCGGGCAGTGGGTCCTGCTAAAGGAATACTTGATTAGACGAACTTGACTAGGGATTAACTGAGATCTTGGCGCTTGCCTCACTGCTGCTGCTGCACTTGGAGTTTTGACTGTCGCCAGTGGAGTAGTCGCCGCTCCCATTGAGGCCCCCACAGAAGCCGCTGTAGCCCGCGGTGCTGCTGGCCATATAGACACCTGCATTGTTGATATTGTTGTTGTTGGAGCTGTTGTTCGCCAAGCCGTAGCTGCTATTAGCGCTGTTGCGCTGCCTGCGTGCCAGCCGCTGCTTCAACTCAATCTCGTTACGACGCGCCAGTCGCGCATTTTCGAAATCTGCTACAGAGAACATATTGGAGCTGGTGTCGTGGGAGTTGAAGCGACGCAGCTTCGGGTTCCGTGCCTCGACAGCAGCAGCGACAGCAAACGCTGCTGGCTTGTGGCCGTGATGCACGCCAGGTGGGGCACCTGAAATACAAAAAAAAAATAAATAAATAAATAAATAAAAATCAGTATATCAAATAAACACAAACGGAAAGAATCAAATGTATATTGGCCAGTCGAAGATAAAATACCCTCGCTAAGGTAATGTTATATATCTATGTTAATTCATTTTGTGTTCGCTTACATCTATGATAACAATAGGATACACACAATGAACTATCGCTATCCAGCTCAAGCCAATAAGTTATTCAAGTAAGTAAAGAACATACTAAACTTGAGCATCAATAACATTCACATTTATATATACTTAAATGCATATAATAAACCTTTTTTAAAATAAATTTAAAACGTTAATTAAATATATTTACAATTCAGGCATATCCATACATATATTCTTATTGAGATCCGATTTGAATAACTGACTTATTCGGATATCCGAATTAGATTCCGAGTCAATATATGCATGCAAACATGCAAATATACATATATACATGCATATATATTTATAAATAAATACCATTTGTATCACACTTAATAGCATAGCTCGCATACCTTCTGGGCAAGGGTATTAGCTTTAGAAACAGGTAGCCCAACCACACAGTGCATTAGTGAGCTAATAATCTATATATATTCTCGTTTATATCTATGTATATATGTCTGTATGTACAAGCATGTATACATTTATAAATCTAATTGTCGCCGCCCTGCATTGGGGAAAATCCCACACAACAAACTTACACACACAAACGCACAATCAAATGCAATTGCAGTGAAATTTTAAACTGTTGCCAAGCGCTGAAAAGTTTTACAGTTTTTTAGCCCAAGTATTTGCACAGTGGTTAAGAAGAGCGCAAAATGGAAACAAACGTTTTTGACAGCTCTTAATTAAATGTCAAACTAAACATCCTTGTACATCTTGTCTTTAAAAATATTGACATATTTTTAAATTAGTATTTTCTTTAAAAACAAATAGACATATATATGTATATATATATTTCAACATTTAAGCAATTTA